TTGTGGTCCTTTCAAAAATCTGTCATCTTCACTAGACGACTTAATATAAACGGAACTACCGAAGTAAGGTGGATTATACTTAATACGAACTATAGTGCAATATACGATAATATGCGGATCAACAGTTCCGTGCTCTATTAATAATTTTGGGACGAAATACGAATATCACGGAGAGTAACTGTCCTCGCACGGTATCGCGAGTAACGATTAACGACTAACGAGTTGTCGTTTTACGACTTTACGAGTAACGAATAAGAATAACGATAGGTTTTTGGCGTGTGTATTATCATTATGTGAGACCGTTTCGTTATCTACGATCGCAAGTACGACCGTGGCTGATAAGATTGCCAAGATCACGGTTTAAGATAATATATATAGCGTGGTCAAGATACCATGATGATAATATGACATATTGGCGTATAATCCCAATTATATAATATTAATATAAAGAGATGCTTTTTTGAAACATAAATAAAGGAAAATTCTAAGATTTTTATGGGTTAGAATCAAGGATTTGTAGCAAGAAAACAGGATTTTTAGGTAGACTTGGCAGGATTTTCTAAATTTTCACCTGGCAACACTGAAATAACTGTTACTGTTATTTTTGTCCATCCAAAGCATCGATTGTTATTATGTTACTGACTGTATTCCAGGGGTAGGTACCAGTTCAGGTTTATCCTATTTTCCTGTTATATTCTTATATTGAATATTGATATTTTAAATAGCTAGAGCCTAGTAATAGGTACCTGATTGGTGGCTTTGGTTCTCAAATCAAAATGCCTAAGTATCTTATGTGTCGAATTTTTATGTTTAAAAATCAACATGTTCGTACTTATTAGGTACCTACAAATTATTTTAGTGTACGTAGGTTTATTTCCCACTAATTGATATTGAATAAGTACATATTTAAATTGTATATGTATRTTATTATGTTATAGTTTGTAGCTTATACTAATAATTATTAAATTGTTAGTGTTTGTAATATTATGTTATTATTAATTAGTAGTAAATAAATATATTTATGAGCATTATAAATGTGTATTTATTTATTTTTATTTATTCTTTTATATTTATCACTTCATTAAAATATAACCAAATTTGTCTGATGTTTTGTTTGAGGCTTTTGACTGTTATATTATTTACAGCAGTGAACTAAAATAGACATGAGATCCTCATTAAAATATTATTTCTGTATAGTGTATAGTAACTATAGTCTGAAAGGGCAAGATTTTGCCAATAAAATTATGCAGGTTTATTCTTGAAATAGATGTGCTCCATTTTACAGTAAAATATTTTAGTATTATAGTCTGTATCTGTCATACATAATTCATTGTGATTTCTTGCACATTACTGCTAGTTTCTATTAACTGTTATTGTCTTAGTTAATTAAGTTTCTAAGAGTGTAAAAATGTAATTTATAAAATTAATAAATATATTTTGAGAATTAATGTCAACAATTAGATTGATTTAGTTTCATAAGAATGAATTAGGTACAACTTAAGCAGCAACTTCATTAGTTGTATGTAGAATAGCTAGGATACTATCAAGCACATTTTCTGTAACTGTCGAATGAAATTGTCCACAATCATTGTTAGAAGATCTACTTAAATTATTATTAATAGTTGTCTATGTGAAATATTAAACTATTTTACTTATTTTAAAACCAAAAAAGATTTATAATAATATATTTTAAGTAGGAATATTCTTTTACCATATTCTATGTTAATTTTGTTTGACCTTGATAATCATTCTCTGTAAAACTTGTACTTGGTAAATCTTCAGGTATTGAGTTAAATTCTATCTTTTCATCAGTGTTTAGATTCAAAGGTCCCAATGCATTACTCTAAAAAATTAATAGTATAAACTGATTTATTATACATTTTCAAATAATTATCATCGATAAAAAAGAAAAATCTAGCAAGTATATTGACTATATAATAATTTAACCTACAGTTGATGCAATTTGACTTGGTTCAGAAAAACTTATCTTTGGTGGTATTGGTAATGTTATATTATTTATAGGTAATATTGACTGTTGATTTTTAGTACTTTTTAAAATTTTATTTTTCAGTTTAGTATCAATATCAGGCGAAAAAACGTTTTGGCGCCTTTCTAATGCGATTCTCATTATTATAAGAATCGTACACACAATTATCACTATCATTACCCCAGACCATGCTTTAACAACGTTTCTGGCAATTAGTACATTATCTTAAGTCAAATATTTGAAAACGCTTTTACAAATTAAATAATAATTATTATAAGTTGTAATTTAAATAAGATATAGTTGATGTTTTTATGTAATGTTTATGCTTATAGAAAGTATAAAAATCATAAATTTATTTCCTTTACCAAATGGTACAGCATCTCTTTTTTTAATTTCTTTTTTTACTGCTGTACGTTTTCTTCTTCTAAATGACTTTTATATTTGCTGTATGCGAAATTTGCTTCAGTAATAAGTTCCCTAATGATTGGAATCAGTTCAGCCTTTCTACCGTAAGCTCTAAGAGCACTTTTTATATTGAGTTTTACGTTAAATGTTTTACTTTCATTCTGATTTTATCTGCAGGGCCGGCTTTAGATACGATCGACGTGTGCGATGTCACAGGGGCGCCAAAATCAGGGGGGGGCGCGCAAAAGGCGTTAAAATTAGAACACCCTCAAGCACTGGKGGTAAAATTCTTATACGGTTTGCAGACGGGCGGTGGCGTGGTGGAGGTACTAGGCGATTTCTAATCTTGTCSTCGCCGCTCGGGATCTATGTGTTAGTCGTAAATGATTATTAGTATGAGTGGAGTTCAATGCGGGTACATATTCACTAACAGCCCAGGTAGTCGTAAATTTTCATCGCAATAATAGTTTGTCGAATATTGTATCAGATATTATTCTGTTTTCTTGTACAACAGTAACTACTAACTAATATTATTGTGACCGACTGAGCGATTATATAATAGGACCGACTCGATAACGATAATTTATTATGAATCGTATTCGCTTGTACGTAAAATCAGTTTTTGAATTTCTTTGTTCTTTTCATTTTGACTGTTGAAGTGGACACTTGTCAGTTGCAGTCTACAATTACAATTTACAATAGGTAAGCTTTAAAACTTAATTAAATGTAATATTTATTAGGTATTTAAAATTGTAAATGGTTTTGCGTGGGATGTATTAGATGTATTAGATGTATTATATTTATTATCAKACGTGATAATTTATCCAGATATAGAAAACCCTCGCTCTACTGATGTACTTCCATGAGAAAGAGAAAGAACAGCTTTAACGACTTTAGTTATAAGTAGATATTTACACTCATTAAAAGTATTTTTTATGTTAAATATGTTTTTCCAATAACAATCAATATGTGACGGGTTGTTTGATGTGGTTATTAAATTGGAATCAAGTTGAAGTAGCAATCATTCGTTAGATAATGCTGTTTAGGATACTTTGAAAGATAATAATCGAGCAACTTTTGTTATGCTACGGATACTTTTTTCTTCCTTGCGCTCTTCTGGTTTTTAAGCAGTTAAAATGTTTTGTAATTGCACTTGATGCGATTATAGTTTTATTAAGTAAATGAGAAGATGCAGCAATAAAATGGTCTCTAACATTGATTTTAAATTGAAGTTGGTCTGAATCTTTTATTTTTAATATGATTTTAACCTAACCTATTGTCACCGCATTTAATATTATTCGTGGAAAATAAATTATTTGAAATGAAGTGAGAGTTTACGCTGTTTAAATCTAACAGTACATCCGGATTGCACACTCTTCCTAACATAGTTACTGTTAATTCAATTACTTCTTCAAATAGAATATGAATCAAAGGTTCGTMCTTTAGGAAGATGATTAGAAAACGTTCAAAAATAGCTGCACTTTCAATGACAAATGAAACTTCTGTTTTCATGAACGAGTTTTTTAAATGGTTTGAAATATTTTTGTATTTTGTACACAGCACAAAATATAATATAAACAAATATCGATAAAATAAATCTTTAAACGAAACCCAATGAGAAAACATTGGGAATAAAAATAAAAATCATATTAATAATAACGTGATGGTGGAGAGCAAGCCGCATTCAAACGCTAAAACTAAAACACTGATAACAAAAAAGCGGGTCTCGCTTGCCAACAAACTACATAGTACATACATTATATTATTATTACAAAGACATATTTTATTTTTGTATTCACTATACATTTTTTTCAATAGTTCACAGATTATGTAAAAACTTAGAGCAGTGATGGGCAAAGTACGGCCCGCGAAAGAATTTCATCCGGCCCGCTGAGGGTCCATCGACACGGATAGTATATGGCCCGTATAGTATAAAAGTACAGTATGAAATTCCCGAAATATTCTGAAAATGATCGAAGAAAATAGTTTTAAATATATAAATGGATTGGCGCGGACTGTGCGTGTGATGTAGGTAGATAGTAGGTACTMTGATAATAGKTATATAATTTCTAWTTTTGTTCAAATTTTTATATTTCCCGGATCTCGGTTTGGTGCGTCCTTATCGTAGTTTTCGTATAATAAAATGTATGATGTACTTATGTATATAAGTAAATTGATATAATGTTATTGTGTACTTGTAATGTGTAATGCTATCAGTCTTTGTACTATCGTCATATCTAATCGTTATTCCTTGTGTTATAGTACGTATAATACGTATAATGAACTCAGTCGCCACTCGTCAGCTGTCACAGACCGATCCGTACGTTATACGTTAATTTTGTCTCTTGTTCTTGCTTGTTTAYGTAACGCTTTATATTCATAATCGTTTAAAAGAAAATCTGTGCTTTTGGAATAATGGCCGTATAAAAAAAGAAAAGTCGATTCCGAGTGTCGTGTGTTTAAAGAAGAGTGGGCTTGGAAATACTTTTTTACGGAATACAACTGTAAGCCAGTATGTCTTATTTGTAATGAAACAGTGGCAGTATTTAAAGATTTTAATCTTGCTCGTCATTTCAACACCAAACATTCAAAAACCAAATATGCTTTGATGAATGACGCAGAAAAAAAGGTAAATGCGGAAAACCTAAAAAAAACAATATCTACTCAACGGAAWGTGTTTATAAAGCAAAACACTGCTCAAAAGGCTTCTACACTGGCTGGATATGTTGTGGCTTATAAAATAGCTAAAAATAACAAACCATACTCGGAAGGAGAATTTGTAAAAGATTGTATGGTGAGTATGAGAAAAATTTTATGTCCAGAAAAAATTAAAGAGTTTGAGTCTGTCAGTTTATCTCGAAAAACAGTAACAACGCGAATTGATGCCATTGCATCAAACTTGTCGTCTCAATTTAGGCAGAGTATAGAAAACTTTAAATATTTTTCCGTGACGATGGATGAAAGTACGGATAAAAGTGACACTGCTCAATTATTAATATTCATTAGAGGCGTTGATGACGAATTTAATATTACTGAAGAGCTAGCTTGTTTGCAATCGTTAAAAGGAAAAACGACGGGGCAAATAATTTATAACGAATTTTCCGAAGGTCTTCAAAATTTAAATGCGCCTATTTCAAAATTATGCAATATAACTACAGATGGAGCCCCAAATATGGTTGGAAAAAACGCGGGATTTTCAGGTATTTTTCGGAACCAGAATCCTAATCACGATGTTGTATTTTTACATTGTATAATTCACCAGGACATACTTTGTAAAGCTGCAATAGATATTACCCATGTACTTAATGTGGTTTCAAAACTAATTAATACGATTCGATCTCGGGGCTTGGTACACCGACAATTCCAAGAATTTCTGATTGAAGTTGACGCAGATTATTCTGACCTTCTTTACCACACGAAAGTAAGATGRTTAAGTTGTGGATATGCATTTGAACGGGTTTGGAATTTAAAAGAGGAAATACAAAATTTCTTAAAGAATAAAACCGACAAATGGTCTGATTTCCAAATCTTCGAAGAGAAAGATTGGCGTACCGATTTCGCATTTTTTACCGATTTGCTCGAACACTATAACAAATTAAATAAAAAATTGCAAGGAAAGAACCAATTTATAGATGAGACTTGGGGTTGTCTGAAATCATTTAAAACTCAGCTTTTCTTGTTTTATAACTGCATTGCAAAGAACGATTTAACTCACTTTCTGCGTTTAAAATCCATGTCACCAGTGAGTGAGAATAAACTAAAACAATTCAGTCAGGCGTTGAAAAATCTTCACACAGAGTTTCAAACTAGGTTTCAAGATTTTAAGAACATTCAATCATCACTAGATGTTTTCTCGATGCCGTTTAATGTAGATCCGGAAAATGTATCTGCAGAATTGCAGTTGGAAATTATTGAAATGCAGTGCAGTACCCATTTGAAGCAATTGTTCTTGAATTCCACAAAACTAGATTATTATAGAGCACTTCCGAAAACTGAATTCCCAAAGATAATTACTCACACCCAGAAAATTATGGCGATGTTTGCGTCGACTTATGTGTGCGAACAGACTTTTTCGACCATGAAATTGCGGAAAAACTCAATCAGAAACCGATTGACTGATGAACACCTTTTCGCACTGTTGAAAGTTGCTTCGTCACAGATGGAACCTGCTTTCGAAAATATTATGGAAGATCAAAAACAATTTCATGTCTCACACGCCTACCATGGTTGGGCCTTTGAATAAAAATTAAACTTAAATTTAAATTTTAAGGTAAAAGGTAATTTGTAACATTTGTGTAATGCTGTAATGTTTTTATAATATTATATGATTCAAAGCTTTAAGACAAATTTTTTTTTTTCTATAATTTTGGCCCTCCTCTAGAATTTCTTAAACAATGTGGCCCCCCATTAAAAAAGTTTGCCCACCACTGACTAAGAGGGACAGAGGATTATAATTATTTTCGAGATTAGGAATAAAGA